CTTAGTTTTAAATGCTAGTAATACCTATAAGCTTTATAGTAATATACACAATAGTTTTAACGTGAAATAGTAACAACATGTATACTAGGAAGAATAATCTCGAAAGCGTATGTATACAGAAGTCCTAAGACCTAGTTGGACAATGTGAAAATTGTCAGAAGCGACTCCGCACCATTCCCAAGTTTATCGGCAACCACGTCCGTTTCCATAACAAGATCTCCGGGTTACAATCCTAAGCTTAGAGGAAAAGTCTGTAAAGCAAGTTTTAATAGGGAACGCGTATAATGCGATAGATGCCGAAGAAAAGCGATATCTTGGCATAATTATTATACGATACGCTGCTCCAATAAAGTTTTGGAGACTAGAGTTTTAGATTAAGTAGTTCCACAATAACTGTCTAAGTCTTTATCTTCTGTAAGAATAGCATGAGATAGACATGTTTCTGTTCTCTGTATCTATAGATTATCAGCAAGAATAGAACTTCTATGCTGATTCAAAAATCCAGCACCTGGTATCATGAAAATTATATATTAACGATTATTTGATGAAACTAAAGGATAGCGATGCCGCAGAAGGACTAACAAGTCTTGGATACCATATAACTTCATACAATCGATATGTAATACATATTTGATATCAAACATTTTATCCAATATTACATTCAGCAAAATATGTCAATGTCTTTCTTATCATATCAATACAGTTCTTGTAACCTTAACACGACGATAAATCATTTGATTTACCCCCGCCGAATAAATTGTTGTGCAAAATGTTATCACAGAGAGCCCCTTTATCGTTTGTGCATCGGTGCGCTTGAGTTGCGTAGGAATGAGATCTAGGTTTTTCTACGTGGAACCTGTCCTCCATCTGGACTTTTTAAAGACGTGGTTTGACGGTTAGCATTCAGGTCTACGTCACGCATGAGAATTGTGACCTTTTCAAGTCACGTAATATATTTTCCAGTGTTGTTTCAGATTATTAACTGTCCGGAACCAAAGGTAGACAGAGTGGTGTTATTCTTTTTACTCCTACATCATTGATAAAGATTCTCTATTACTTGTAGCATCGTCGTTCTTGTGACTTTTCACCAACGCTAAACAAGTTCATAATTATCCAAATGAGCAAAAAATGTCCACAAAATAGGACGACAGCAGATCTTGTTTAGAGTTTGTTATATGATTGGGATATTCTCCTTCCATCAAGTAAACATCATGTTTTTCTCATCCATCGTAACAACAAAATTTAAAAATTGTTTTGTATTTAAATATAACACTTTAACGGTTTGAAACGCGATATATATTAGTTAAACTTATTTGAAAATTATTTTAACTACGGGCTCGTGGCATCGGCTGCTGTAAGGCATCCGATACGTCGGGCCGTAGTTAAAATATTTTTGAATAAGTTAAATAAAATATATCGCGTTTTAAACCGTTACGGTGTTTTATTTAAATGTGTACAACTCGCCTAAAACACTGTGTAGTATTTAATTGTTTTGTATATAAAATATCTCAAATGTTTCTAATCCTTAGCCACAGACTACCAATATATTTTACAATAATATACAGGCACATGACAGTTCACAGCGTTGACTTTCATGTATTCATGTATTTCAATATGAAGCATAAAAACTACGCAGTTAGACTGAGAAAGAGTTGACGACGCGCCTGGCTCACGGAAATTCCGGAAAATGGCCCATAAATTATTATCTGTTGTGTTAACTATGAATGAGCATCTGCACATGATCTTATCTATCACATAATATTCTCCGCAAATAATATGGCTTATCTTTGCAAGATGGCGTCTCTGTAAATTAAAATAACCTCAATAAACTATTAAGAAAGGTCTCGTTCGGAATTTTCCTCTGACTAGATAACTGGGATTATATTCGTAGACTCATGTGAAGCTGCATGCTTGAGGATTTATCGCGACTTGGTATTTGCTAAGAAAACGCGTTCAAAGCGTAATATATTTTCGTTTATGTTTTATAATTAGTATTAGTAATCGATGGGCCATGAGTTCGAACCCAATCCGGTCCAACATTTTTCTAATCAATTTGTATTTTTTGATACATGTTGGACCTAGTCTGGAAATCTGAATAAATTACAAACCAACCGTCAAGTTTAATCGGGCTTCGGTTTCAGTCTGTAGATTCCTGTAAATCCAAAGCCAAAATCCGACGACAGTATGTCGTGTTTAGATTTTATATGGCTTTTACTTCGCCTACCATCAAGGCCCCATTATATATTAGCCCTTATATAACCTTAATGTTTTCATTTTATCTAAAAAGTGTCTGTTTCGTTCCACTCGGATGTAATTTTCAGTAATTATTCGTAATGATGTATGACAGGTGCACGTAACCGAATGCAAATCGAAGGTTCTATGGAAGATTTTTAAGATCGCGTCTTAAGGATAAGTGGTGATTTCGCGAGGTGTCTAACGGTTCCTTATAACGGTAGCATTCGTTTAATATTCAGCAGGTCCCAACGTGACATCGATACAATGAATACGAATTATAGCCCTCTTGCCATTTTAAGCCTCATCTTGGAGTTATGAATCATATCTACGAAAAACTAGATACCTTGAAATATCACCTTATTAGTGTCTGTCAAATTATATAGATATATACTTTTTATCGATTTTTGTGGTTTTAAGTGAGTAATTTGGTAAGAGACGTTGAATTAATTTTTTCCTACGAATCTACTTGGCGACTATTTTGATGTCTGTCTTGTTTGAAATTATAGACTAAAGACACTATACCCGATAGTCAATACACTACTTTCTACCAATTTATTAATTCTACGGGAAAAGCAGACGAGTGAAATTAGTAACAAATATAACCTTAAATATTACCTTTCATTGAAATTTAGAAGAAATTGCATTTATTACAGAAATTTGTAGAAGTAAGGTGTTCACTATCGTTTACGCGAATAGTACACAAAATTTTAAATGAAACGGTTTAAAAGGGAAATATATTAGTTAACTAATTTACAGTTTATTTTATCTACGGCCCGACGTTTCGGATGCTTTACAGCAGCCGTGACCACGGGGAGACCACGTGATTATATAAGAGTACACTGTTTAGTTAAGCCTTTAAATAAATTTTACGGTAGATTATATACGAATATAAGTAAATCGTTCTTAAATAAAATCTTATCGCTTACAGAAGACGAAACTCTACAGCTAAAGGAATTAGCGGACATTAAAATGTTGAATAAGCAAATAATACTATTTTTTTCCACTGCGTCTGCATTTAGCCGTTAATAAGTATGTTACCTTAAAAACATACACTAATGCACATTTCGTCAAACAATTCATTCACCTTACAATCGCGGGATCTTCATACTTGTTAGTGTAAAAGTGACACACGGTTTTAACACATTGTTAATCAACTAGACACACATTCGCGCGATCAGTTGCGGGCAAATATAAACACTACAGGGACTCGATAAAAACTACATTGGCATGTACTGGTCGGGTATTGTATGCGTAAACATTAATCAATGCCATGGATACGCGAAGGTCGCCAAGTTTCAAGTAAAAGATGATCCGTTCCAATTGGCTAATAAGCGTACGTTGGAATTCTTATATTTCACTAGCGTTCGAATAGTTAAAAGTAAATTTGAATATTATCTGTAGTATACGAGAGTACACGTTAAATTTAAATAACCACTTTTACCTGTTTAAAACGAGAAATATATTAGGAAATATAGATTAAAAATCGAAAATAAATTGAAAAAAAAAAATCGAGTCTTAGAGTCGAGAGGGTTGAAATTACATTGCGCGAGAGGTGCATGTATCTCCAATTAATGTAACTGTAATACGTTTTAATTGCTAAAAATAAATAAATCAATCAATAGATTGAAAAAAAAACGTCGATTTTTTTTCAATCATCGTCAATTGTTTTTAAGACTCGGTAGCTCAATTGGTTAGAGTAACAGCAAGAAATGCTGATGATGCCGGTTCAAGTCCTGCCCGAGTCGAAACATTTTTCAATTTATTTTTGATTTTTATACTTTATAATGCCATCATTTGCAACAACTTGTATAAAATATAAAAGTTTTCAAATATTTGGTAACTTATTTTTTATGTAACTGCCTTCGAAAATTTAATTAAAACTTCATTTTACAGTGAAACAATTATGTATACAGTGACAGGACTAGAAACGACCTCTAAGCTACATCCATTTCATCTATCCATGGTTCTCCTATACGATAGGTCTCAGAAATTAATAATACTGCCAAAAATGTTTCAAATAAATAGTCGGTTGTAATAAAACACTAATTTCTATTCAGACCAAGTGATATTAGTGAGTAAAACAAACATTAACATTTTATTAGTGTAGATTCGTGTAATCTCAACAGCTCCAGTTTCTATTTTAGTACATAAATTATTTGGATTAGGCATTATCACGACGCATTTTGTATCGGTCGACTCGCCTCGGATTGAGATAACGAGAACCGCTGCGCAGTTGTCCAAAATTCGTTTTTCTAAGAAGCGATTTCGCAGTTTGGGGTTTTTCATATGTTTTCAATATAACGCTCATTAAGTTCTGTTATTCGGATATAAAAAAAATATAAATCTCGCTTATTTTGTTTAATTCAGATTTATCGCGAACTGTGACGTCACAAATATTTCTAGTAATCTAATAAATATTCAAAATGTTTTTATAAGGTCGATAACAAGCTACTATAATAATTGTATGTTTCAAATAAATGCCCTACTGATGAGGAGCATACGTTTCTCTAATTGGAGAAGGTGGTTAAAGAGAGAACACTGATTCAAGTCCGAGGACTTCAAACGGCATTAAATTTGTGATAATAACTGGGTATGACCCAACGACTGAATATGATCTCCGTGAGGACGACGGCAAATATGGGTCCCTAACTCAACTGGTACTCTGCAGGTCGAGTGTAACTAGTAGACCAGAGAGGCAATATTGATGTATTTGTACTGGTAGCTTCTTCTTTCTTGTAGCTAAACATAGACTGAAAAACCCCTACCTTCCAGCCGGCTGAAGAGTTGCTGTCGCCCTTATCCTTAAAATATGGCACGTTTTGGACCATCCACTCGTATATTTGGGACAGAGTGAGCCTCTTGTCCGGCGATGACGTGATGGCCTGAGTAATGAGATCAGCATAGGATAGGTTACCCCAAGCGTTGCGGCGTGAGGAGTTTTTCTTCGTTGCTATTGGCAACGGGGGTGCTCCTGAAACATATTGGGATCGTCATCACAACTGTTACAAAGGTTATTCGAAACACGCGTGTGCGTGTGTGAAGGACGTTGTGCTAGCGTTATCGTATGCTTTTACCTCCGCACATTTTACACATAATATGTTATATGGCCAGTGCGGTTGGAAATCAGATAAGAAATATATTTATTAATTCCTATAAACGTTATTTTTTTGTGATAGACGAAGACAGACAAGAGGTTCACATGAGGGTAGGTGAAATATAAAACTTAAACATTTTATATCCAGACGAAGTCCAACATTTTGAGAAAAATTGTATATGTGTATATAGGTATTTTGAGAATAAAATATTTAGAAAAATGTTGAACCCGAAAGGGTTCGAATCTACGAAACTTAATCATACATTGTCACGTCCTGTGTGTCATGTCCTTAATGACGGTTTTCTAATGACGTTTTCGAGACTCACAAAATATTATTTTTTTCGAAAGATAGTAAATAAAGGTTAATACTTTTAAATTGTTTGAATAATTAAGAAAGTAATTCCTATCGCAACATTTTTAATTATATAGGTAAATGATTCTTTCCCTTTATTAAATAGCTGGGTTGATAAAATAAAAACATTATATGTATGACTATGTAATTAATTCGCGGATCAGACAGCTACTAATCTTAACTCTATTGCTTGCTAAAGATATTTTATAATTAAAAAATACAATTATTCATTGTATTGCTTAATATAGCATTCATTTAAATTGTTAAGTAAAGTAGTAAATGCTATCATATTACATAAAATTTCAATATCACCTGCATAAACTTTGGACTATGTTATGTTATATAAAATATACATACATTGCATATGTTCGCCAATCTCAATACATGAAATAACAATTACATTTTCCCATATCAGTTTATCATGGTAAATAGAATTTTTATCACATTTAACCTTGATATCAATACAGATTACGAATCGTTATTCGGTGACAATACTAGATGACAATACAGATAATATATTATCATTTGAGATAGGTTTAAGATAATTGTTAAGATTTTAATAAGTTAGAATTATTATATCATTATTATCAAGATAATTGAATTGGCGGTGATTAAACGTTACGTAACTGCCATTTGTAGTTTGAATTATATTTGCAAGTTGGATTAATTAAATTGTCCTAGATTTATTATTTTCTATGACGAAGTTACGGATTTGATACAACAAAAATGTAGACTTGATGGAAATTGCAATACCCCAATAGTACAATTAAAGTCTTATTAAGATGCGCCGTCGCCCTATATTGACTGCCGAAATCGAATCGAAGATTCATGTCACCTCATCTTTGCTTGAATTCAAACATTGAATGACCAGGTTTCCTCAATGGCCAACAAAAGAAGGTAAAATAAAAAATGACAATAGTGTTGCTCTCGTTAGGGAATCAAATCCACGATACGTCGTTCAGATCGATTTAATAATTGCTTTATCTTGAAGATGTTGTTACTTATTATTAACCAACCAGCTTTCCTAGCTTAGCTGACCTTTTAAAATGCATAATGTCACAGTGCATCTTTTGTTGCAAATGGCACGATATTGATGATGTATGCTTTTATTTATTTTTCCTTATAAGGTTTTATGTAAGTGTGCACATGCAATAATTAAAACAAACTAACGCACCCTAAGCATAAGTAAACATTTATATGTGTAAACAAGAAAGAGGTAAACTTTTTTAATTACTAGTAGTCTAAATTTTTTCCCTGATAATGCTTGATGGTATCATTGGTCTAAAGGCAGCAATGTATTAAGTGATGGATCGTGAGTTCCATCTTCCGAGTCCAACATGTTTCTAAATAATTATATATTTTTTTAAATCATGTTGGACTTCGTCTTGTAGCAGAACTGGATGGAATGTTGAAAATTTTGTCCAGGTCACGAACCACTGTCCACAGATGCAAAGGCGTGTAGTTTCATTGCGTTTCGGCTTTAGTTTGTTATTTGTATCGATTTTTAAATAACGAGTTAATAACGAGAAATGCCCACAGGCCACATGTACATAGACTTGAAAAACTAGAAATTTGTTTTGTGTCAATTATCTGCTTGAAGCACTGAAGAACCGTTTCTTTTAGAACCCACAAAAAATACTAAGATTGTTTCAACAACCACCGTCATTTTTGCTAGAACTTTCAAAATCTCTCCCCCTATTCGACGGAGCAGGTTTGATTCTTGTGCCATATTGTCACAAACTTGGGCAGCTTTTAACACCTTATCTCAGTTTATAAACGGTACAATGACCATGATATGTAACACTCTCTTTAAAATGAAATATTATTATCATTAATTAGTTAAAACTGTATTATCTGTAGTTTACACAAGAATAATTCGAATTAATAACTTTAAACGTTTAATACGGAAATTTACTGAACTGAATTGTAACAACGACCCGAGGTTCTGATGCTTAGCAGCGTTCAACTGCTAGTAGTACTGTTTAATCGAATAAAATCGAGTGATTTACAACAAATAAGTTTCGAAGTATTGTTTCTGAGGTTGTTATAGTATTTAAGATTGGAAAAAGTATTATAAGTCATTCTTTTTTTTAATGCTCATCTACGTAATAGAAACGTTACAGCTGTTGTAATATTTCTAGTACTGTTACGGAAAAACCAATGATAATAAAAAATATATTTCAATAATAAACAATATCGTATCTTTGTCCATAACAAAGATGTTTATTTGTTAATTACGAACCACTGTAGCTTTTAGTTCGCAGTATGGCACTACGCACTTCACAGTTAACCTAAAAAAATGGCCAAGTCCGAGTCACCCTAGCTCACGATTCTTACAATTTATGAATGCAAAATATGACTTCTGTTGTAGGTATGAGACGCTCTTTTAATATTTATTTCTACTTGATTTGTTTTTGCTAGTAGCAACACAATAACATCATCTGTGAAAATAGCTATCAATGTTTTTAATGTTATGTTATGTATCTTATTCTATTGACAGATGGACAGACAACCTCCTCTAAGACGGTACGGAACTCTAAAATCATCTTTGATGACCTTCAAACACCTACTTTAATATATTTAAGATTACGTAAAGTCATCGAGTTACCAGTAAGATTCTGATTAGAATTCTTCTTGGAGCCTCCGTCTTCAGCGGGATCTATATAATTTTCCGGCCTCGGCAGCGGCCAGGTATTCGATCGCGCTCGGGTTTGAGGTTCGAAGCCGACCTCTGCTAGTTCACCTAACGGCTCCAACTCCCCCATGGCGCCTTCGAGCTCCGAGAGCGCGGTCTGTGATGACCATGGGCTGTGGTAACTGCCGCCTCCAGGCAAAGACATTTCTATAGTGATATTACTGTGCAACGGAATTTTTCGGTGGGTGTGTCGTGGTGCGCTCACCGGCGCGTGCCTCCACCGGCTACCATGCCGCGTTCACCTTCATAACGAATCTATCTATTTCCAGAACGTCGTCCGAGAATCTCAGAGGTTATCTAACTCCTTATCGGTGTTACACGAAGCCAATAACATGTGGCGTCTCACTAACGTTCATAAACAGAGCCGTGTGTCGCGTCTGACCGGTCTGTAGAGGCGATTTTCGCTAAATATAAGCACAGCGAGGCGGGGGCGGGACGTATTATACCACGTGAGTTACTACGCGCCGATTTTCCAATTCATCACAGCCGAGCTAGAGGCGCGATAACCTTGTAACGTGGCTAGCGATCACGTTACCACTGTAACTATGGTCACCGAATTCAGTTCCAGAGATCAGCACTGCACAATGTCCTCGAGAGTACGAACGTCGAACACTATGGAAACTTTTCCGCACTGATAAGTTATCACTGCACGCGTTAGTCCTCTTAGAGACGAGTTTCGGTTTTAGGGGACCACGCGATCGGCGATACACGCTACTGCGTAATAAGTGAGTGGGCGTGATATTACAAACCGTCTTCTGTGGCGAGCGGTCGCACGTATACTGAGGCGAATCGCGTAGTGGCGGGAGTGCGAATTCCGCTTGCGGGCGCCGCGCTGGCCGCGTACGGCGACGTGGGTCGTGGGAGGGCGAGGGGGGTGAGCGCTGATAGCACTGAGGGCCTAGTATGAGTTTGATAGTTAACAATCACATTAAAATCAACCGTTTCGACCTCTGTGGTTTCAAATACAAGTAATTGCCTAGAAATATCTTAAAGAATTTATGAATGGAGTTACAAGAATAATTCTTAACGTGGCCATTAAATTAGCGTATACAAGGGGTACAGAAGCTTGCGTTGACACTCGCTTCTTTGCACTCGATATCGTCTGTGGTGGGTGACAGCATCGCTAGATCGTTCGCGCCATCTCTGCCGCGCGTTTACGTATTCATTAAGTATCGAGTCTTTATTACGCACTTGGATGTCCTTTTAATTTGTCACTTAATTTTTGAATTACTCACACGAGATATTTATTTTATTGCTGTTATGTAATATTAACAAAGACGTGCAAGTTTAAAATCAAGATATCTCAGATATATAAAGCAACTGTTGTTATTGTTATATAGTATTATTAGACAAAATAATGCTGTGTATTTTTTACAGGCTAAAAATAGCAAAGTGAGGTACTATACAAATTTACGTTTACAATTGTTATAACTTGAAAATAAAACTACTTATTTTTATACATATTATATGCACGACTTTTTTTCGTTATCTTATCATCGACCAGTAAGGGACTATGATATATGCATTGTACGGTTGTACAGTATTTCTTAAATAACAATATTAATGGTATTTAATTTTAATATAAATTTAAAGTCTGACGAAATATGTCCTAGCCAATACAATAAAACACATCTTTACATTACCTAATATGACAATGTAAACTACTTTTAAACAACTTTAAAATTTGTATCATTATTAGTAAAATATAATAAATTACTAATAACGTCAAATCAACGTTACAATTACGTGTGCAGTTTGCGTCATCAAATTTATTACACAGCAGGGAAAAGCATACGAGATTACTTTGACCAACAAAGTTGGTCGGAAACTACGGAAAATGTAATTTTACGTAAAACGTTAAAAATGATTTTTCGCCTTAATCAATTGTATATGCAGTATAGAACAACATTGTAAATCTTTACAACATGTATAATATTTAATACATTTTAATCAAAAGGGTTTAATTAGTATGTATCGGATACTAAATTATGATACATTAGTCTGTATTTACGTATTTCTGAACAAAGTTCTAGGCGCATTACCGTTTTTCAAAATCCCTTTCCCCGCATGTTTCACATAATTATGAGGGTCTTCTCAAAAATTCATTTCATAATACATTCTCAGTCACGGACTTTAAAAAGCAATTCAGTCTTGTTTGCAGTTTGTTTTTTTCGTTTTTGCAAAAAACCCAAGACCCTATTTTTAGCAAGACCAAACCAAACTACCTAACTAAAGAACAAGACATAGCCTGCAAACTCTTCGTCTTCACTAGGACTTACTATTTCACTGAGTAGTTAGGTGTAACAGTTCGGTGTATAGGTAGTTACCTTAGAATTCTTAACCAAAAAACTTATCAAAAATATGAAAAACATATACCATAAAATAGGAATAAAAAAATTATTAAAATCAAACATCTATTTATTTTTAACCATCGCACTTTGATAATGCGGCATCAAAGGTTTTGTACTTACTTCTCAAAAAATTTCCTTTTCGGAAGTACATGTTATGATACACGCCGCGGCTTCTTTTGAAATTAAAACAATCTCCCCACCAATTAACATTTGACACTATTTGATTGCCGCCATAGGGCGTAGGTATACTCATGCAAAATAATTTCGAATTTTTTTACACGCTTTATATTATTGTTTGATTTGCGGCGGCATCTTATCATAAGCCGCACCGAGCGGCGGTAAAAGCAAGGAAACTACTATAAACAAAGGAATTATTTTAATTCCATCATTTCCAATTGAGTTCTCGAGTCTAACTTAATAATTGTTTTTACTAATTTCGTTGTTTTCTAAAAACTATCACTGTACAATTTCATGAGTGACGAAGATTCAAATTATTCTATCGAGTAACGAGAGTTTGAGTTTTAGCAAATGTAAGCTTATAAATCATAAATGTTTATTAAGAAACAGTTACTTCCATGGAAAAGACATATAGGTCAGTTGATTTTTCGAATTTCTTATCAAATTTTCAGTTATTTATTAATCTGCTTGGCTATGGCTATATTCATTCAAGCTCACAATGTTCCAATTCTAATACGTTTTTCTAGGATTTAAAGTAAACTGTAATAAATAGTAATAGACTAATAGGTAATTGCAAGACTTGCAAGACTTCGACCAAACCAAGACCAAGACCAAGACCAAGACCAAACCAAGACCAAGACCAGGTGTATTGGCGCAAGACCAAGACCAAGACTGGCTAAGTCTCGTCTTGTTCTTGCGTTTGGGCAACACTAATTTAAAAAGTAAAGAAATCCTCACATTGTTAAAAATATACAAAAACCTTGAAATAAAAATAGTCTCAAAAGTCAAAACCAAAAGTTATAAATAACTTCGTCACCTATTTTGGGCTTGCTTTTATTATTTTTCAATCTATAATCAGACGTTGTAAAACATATTGTTAAAAGGGCACAACCTTATGAAAACTAAAAAACCTTCGAAACTGTTACGTTTATTTTTAGAGTTTTTGGTTTTATATATTTTATTTTGAGATTACCTTATTCTTACACGATATAGCCAGATACATTATTTCAGAAGAAAAAAAAACGCATTGATGGGAATCGAAGTCACGAATACGCTGATACAGTGGATATCGACACAGGCAGCTAGCAACCTGTGTCGATATGGAGGTCCAGAAAATACAGTGGCCATTTGAATAAGCACTAACTGTGCTCGCGACTTCGTCCGCGTAGAATGCTAATCTTGGGCATCAAAATTTGTTTTTGCAAACCCCCTCCCCTATAATTTATAACCATGTCGTCGGTCATGTCCCGTTGTTCTTGTAGGTCCATCTTGAAAAATAGACATATACGGTCGCGGAATATTTTTAGATGCTTTAAAGAGAAATCATTCTTTTATAAATATTTTGTGGGTATCTGGAACGGTTTCGCCGCGCACGCATGGGGACTCTCACGGAAAAAGATGAATAAATTTTTCCCGTTTATTCTAAATTTCCCCCTGTTTCTTCGTTCCTATTGTTTGCACTGTGATGTTTTATAGCCTACCCCGAAAAATGCTCTAAACAACAGAAAAATAATATTTCAATTCAAACCAGTAGTTCCTGAGATTAGCGCGTTTAAGAAAAAAACTCTTTAGCTCTTTAATATTTGTATCTATTTTAGGATTACCTCATTGTTATTCAATCTAATAACATTGTACATACTGTCTATAGTTTACGCGAGTAGTACACATTTAAATAAAACACTTTAACGGTTTAAAACACGATATATTAGTTAAACTGATTTGAAAATGATTTTTAACTTCGGCCCGACGTTTCGGATGCTTTGCAAATCATTTTTACTAAAACTAATATATCGCGTTTTAAACCGTTAAAGTGTTTTATTTAAACATTGTACATTATCCTTTTTACGACTACGCTTATACAGTTGTTACCTGCCTCTGACTCTGTAGAGGTCCAGTACATACTCTGTCAATTTAAACGAGTACACGTTATAAAAACTGTACTTAAAAATTAAATGGCTGATATATCGTAATGCCATTTATCCGTTTAGTAAATTTTGCCATGGCCATATATAACTGTAAGGTGTCAGTTAATTGCACGTTAGAGGAAATTAACGCAGAACATCTGTTGAGTTTCCTGTTGTAATTCAGTAGACTTTGACAGTGTTAAACACTATCCCAGCATTATCCCACGGCTTTACTTGTACCTGTACAAAACTACATCAGTGTACAGGTAATGCCGACGGTCTCAAGGATTCGATTCCTCCCAGGTCCAAATCCACGTGTCTTAAATCATTATCTAATTATTCTAAAACATGTTGTGCTTCTCCTGGCAAATCTGGATATTTTTTTGTAATAAATTTAAAAATGGGAACATTTTCTCACTCCGAAAGAGACTTATTCTAAGCTGTCAGTTATTGGGAACATTGTGTATGTCCAAATGTAGTTTGTAACTGATTTACGTGTATTGATGAAATCAGACGTCAAACTCGGTTTGCAACGCAGGAGTATGATTGAGTGTACGTATGGTATGGTTTTAGTATCAACCTCGACTTAATAATAAATTTATCTATAAACTTCACTCTTCTTCTAACCGGCCAGTCTAAAAATCCACGCTGGTGAGAAAGGCAGGACTAGCTACCAGCTAAGAACCTTTTAAGATCATTCTTTAAAAGTATTATTGTATTAGGGATTTAAGTTACAAAATATTTATTTGAATGATTCTTACTGTATTATTTATATCTATTTTAAATCTTTGTAATAAATGAGAGGTAGGTAGATATCGTAACACCGTCTGGGTTTCGAAACATACAAGAAAAAGCCGAAATCCACAGACTGAAACCGAAGCGCAATTAGATTTGTCTGTTTTTTCACCTGTGTATGGTGGTTCGCGACTCGGACGGAGTTTCGTTGTTCCTAACGCCCATTTAATATTTTCCAGATGAAATCCAACGTGGTCAGAAAAAATACAAATAGGTAACAAAAATGTTGGGCCCACGACCCGTTGATTAATAGCCATATTATATTGCTACCATTTACAACTTACTTAATTGAAGCAATTTTGCTCGTAGATCGTTTGAGTTAGGTCGTCGTATACAGCTTTGATCTTTTTTTAAATGCATAAATTAACCGCGTGATTTTTTCCATTACAATACCAACGGTACGTGCAGCTCTTCTAGGGTGTAGTCGCGATAAAGATACCACTTTTAACGGTTTGAAACTCGAAATACATATTTAAAAGTCCCCGTGACCGCGGTTACTGACAAGCTTTTGAAACGTCGGTATGTAATTAAAAATTAATTATATACATGAAGGTATTAAACGGTTGAAAATGTTTTATTTATTGTAGGTATACCATTCGTGTCCACTACGGACATTACTTTTGAAGTTGCGATTGCTATCTTGAATCATTTATAGAAGCGCAAATGTATAACTATACATAAATTAAAATAGTCTTGAATATCAATTATTTAGTATTTGATCGTGTACCGTCGACGCACATCTGCACGGCTAAAAAGGTAACATTAGGCAAGGCATCGGGTCTATGAATATTTATGTAATAGAAATATGTATTTATAAATAATAGGTTACTAATACAACTCTTTTAAAATAGTTATTAGAAATTTAAAAAAAGTCAAAACAAGGTTTTAGGAATTAAATTAGCTTAAACGTTTTACACCCCTGTATTAAACTAAGCTTGCTTTTAAGACAATAAATTTGTCTTAAAAGCAAGCAAAAAATCTAAATTGTATTGCCAATAAAAATTTAAAGTAACTATTTAACTATTGAAATTACCGCCATCTAGTTAACTTATTTAAAACTAGTACTATGTTCAAGTTTTAATACCTTATTGTTGAATGGGATATAGATATACGCTTTTATATTTTGCCGCTAGATGACGTTGAATTCAATATGCTCAACACATCCTTCGACTGAAGGCTTTACAATTTCAGAGTCTGTAAACCCACCCCGGATGTGGTCACACAGTCAGGTTTAGTCGTATCGGGACGATCGCCGCGTAAAGTGCCCTGGTAAATTTGGGCGCCAACGGATGGTCATAATGATTTATTGAGTTAAAAACTTTATTTTTCCATCGAGATTTTAGTATTGTTTCCGCGTAAATACATTTCGACAGATTTAATAACATAACTCTAACTGTTGCATAACCTATCCTTTGTGAATTTGCGCGGTAGATATGATTGGTAAGTAAATTCTAATACTTTAATGTTATCCTGAATACTTGACATGTTAAATAAAAGATTTATTTCATTGTTAATTGTATATTATCTCTGAGTAGCCAGGTTAAACTTATTTTTCATACTAATATATATTTATTAAATGTGTAAATTGTAGTTTTAAGGAAAACTTTGCACTTTTCAAATTCAATTTTCTGGTTCAAAAATAAGCTATTTATAGTATATATTATTTATAATTATAGTAGTATATAGTATTTATAATTGAAATAACTAAGTTCAAAAATAAATGATGTTTAATTGTTTAAACAACAAAGGATTTATAATAAATATTATAACATTTTCGCCCTTCACAACGGACATTTTTATATTTAATAAAATATTATTAATTTCATATTACGCTCTTTCTTTTGAATTATTTGAAATAGCCACAACCGGCTTAATGTATTAAGCGCGAGTTGTCTTGGGTTCGAAACTCAGGGAACCAATAGTCCCGTTTGAAAAAGGGTAGGTATAAAAGAAAGGAAATTAGACAGAGAAACGATTTGTTTTTATGTTCAACTTATACAAAGGGCTCGTTCCGGATTCAGTAATAATGCGCATATTCTAGTCAAAATAGGTTGTGGTCAGCGCATTTTGTTGTAAGAGAACGCCATGATTGTCTACCCTCCTCTATCATAAAATAAAATCATTAGCTTAAATAGAAGCTGGAATTTTTATATTCAGTACTTTAATTATTTAATAAAATTAAAGAATTACATTCGATAAATTCACAAGATTTTGTTTTTTGATACAAAACATCGGGTTTTACAACTTCTGGGTACTGACCAAATATTTAATATTGCCTTTTTCGTTGGGTTTCCTCGTATTCTTCCTTAATTTTCAGTACAAATAAGGAAACGAATGACTTAATTACTTTCTTCTTTGTCATTTGTTACGAGATACGAATATAAAAACTTTGGTACAGCATAGAATCAATATGCTGAAAGAGTCTTAAACTTATTATTTTAAGTATTTGTTTAAAAGAGAAATAAGTAGTTTTTATTCACCCAAATATATCAATACCATTGTTTAGACTATATTATTTCTATTGTCATAAACATTACTTAGCTTTCATTTTAACCACATCGTTATAACTTTCAGAACTGAATTTGTTACGTACTGTTTTCAAAGCTTTGTTTTAGCTGTTTGAAATAAAAGGTGAGGTTGTACTCTTTGGATAATTTATTTGTTTGAATCGTTATAATATTCCTTATATATAATTTCCAGCTTATGCAAATTGACAAGGCAATTATTTTCTATTAAAAGAGTATATAGATATGACTCAAACTCACCACAATGATACTCTATTGTTCGTCAGTATTTAGTTTATATTAGGTGTGCCAGCGACTTCGTCCGCTAAGAATATTTATTTTGGGCATACAAATTCGTTTTTGTAAACCCCTACGTGATTATAATCTTAAGCCGTTACCCTTCCCGTCGTTCTTAGAAGATAGAGCGTAGCGGAGTTTTTTTTAGATCACTTAAAGAGGAATAATTTTTCACATTTTCTGCTGTATCTTCGCTTGGCGAAGGCGATGTTTTATAGCCTATAGCCTTCCTCGAAAAAGTCAAACCAACCAAAATATAATAATAATTTTTCAATTCGAACCCGTAGTGCCTGAGATAGTCGAGTTCATACGAACAAACAAAGTCTTCAGCTTTATATATTAGTAGTTATTAATTTACAGCAATTAAAACGGCAATAGCCAGTTACATTAATTGGATACACACATATTTAAACAATAACAATTAAAAATAGGTTATTACAAATTACATTAGGAGATAATTTCAAAGGCAGACAATTCTTTTAGTATTGATGACCAATCATCTGCTAAGAGGTCACATTTGGGTCTTAACTTTAGGAGAGCGTTGAGTGAGGTCAAAATTCGCGGTATCGGCGTAAAGTCGCGGGCGGAGGTGCAACCTTTTGGGACGTCAAACATATAGTTTATTCTTACTAAATAAAAACTTCACCATGAACTATACTTCCGGGTTCTATTGAAGTGTTCTGGAGTAGTTAGACGTCAGATTTGTAGTAATTTTTCATGTTATTTTATCGAAAAAGAAATATTTCTTTCATCTTAAAATTGAAAAGAACCTTACTACACAGATTTACATGGATTCAATTGGGTTCAAAGTTTATGTGAATCCATTATAATAATAATGCTCGGTACCAATACAACATATTAATACATTTACACGAACAAAGACACGCAGTCCTACTAGTTTCAAACATATTATACAGGAGATATTAGTGAAATGGGGAACGCGGGATTTCAAACTTTAGGAGGCTCTTAACATTAAGGTATTTTGGGTGCTTAGTTTCTACTATGCCTTTTCAACAACTAAGATTCCAGTATAATGAGTTATTTAGGTGACGACACGAGATAGTTGACACAGACACAAGTTATGAAGGTTAAGTATTGTCTGTAGCTTACCTGGTTTACTGTAAGGGCTGAAAACACGTAATATCTTAGATTGTAATTATGTAACACATCGGATTCCTTGCACCACGGGTTTCTCCTTCGAATTGTAAATAAAAACCCAACTAATTGTTTTTGCCTTATAGCCATAAAAAGAGATTTTATTTCACAGACATTATTCATTATCTTTTATTTATCCTATAGTTTAAACAAAAGCTTCGTTATATAGTTTTCATAAACTATTTCGCCTCTGTAGCCAAATAGTTAAACGTATTGCCTAGCATTGCGTTAAGCGCGAGAGGTCC